TCTCTCTCTCTCTCTCTCTCTCCCTATTTAGCTTTTTTCTCCTCTTATATCCTCTTTTCCTTGTCTCATACCTATCTTGCAATCTGCTTTTTCCCCTTTATCTCCTTTTCTTCCCTTTCTTTCAAACTTTCCTACTCTTTTGCACCCTTTTCTTTCCTTTTGCCTCTATTTCTAAGCTGCTTGCAGAGATGCTGGAAAATCTGCAGAGTAAATTTTATTCTACCGTTTTTTCAGGTTGTACTTTCTCACATGTCCTACTGCTTCAAATCCGCTCCAATCACCCAATCCTCAATAAATCACCTGGTAAATTATATACAATGGGTCTTACTGGCAGTCCACCATAAATTCTAGACCCACTAGATCGAATGCCAACCCGTTTTTTCCCCAAGACAAATGGAAAGCCACCGTGATATAACCACTGATCACGTTTGTCAGTGGGTTGTGTTAGCTTACCCACGCAACCACCGCCAAAGTTTGTTTTAGATTAGAGATAAGACGCCCGGCGAGGCATAACTGGGACATGTATTTTCAATTAGTGTGTGTTAGCCTGTTTTAGGGGGTGGGCAGTGAAACAGTGTTGTAATGTTCATAGTTCAACCAAAAACCTCATTTTTGTGTATCTGAGCCATGGGTTGGTTAAGGAGTCGTTCTCCTCTCTCCTGAAAGGGAGGGACACCACACCACACAGAGCCTTCCACCGCCACTCGTCCTGTGGACCATGATCGACACGAGACTAAGCGTGTTAACCTAGGTTTGCTATCCCCGTGGAAATATCACGGTGTGAAGCCTGGTTGCGACAAAAGCAAATCCAGGCTGGTCTATTGCACCTAAATGGTTAATTCAAGTCACGCTACCAGTTCTCGTTGCTGCGACAACCGCCTACAGTAAATACGACATACATAGCTTTATATAATATAATCCACTCCTACTACCACTTATTACACCCAAAACCATGACAACGTTCACTGAGAAATATATGTATTGAAGCACTGACGACTTCTCGAATGTTCTCAGTAGTAACGTAGAGAGCATTTAATGTGCCTGCTTTACTGCTTGTAAATGCAATTAATAGAAATACACTGTAATTCAAACTCATAAGAAGAGTTGGTTGTGACAATACCAGGCAATTTTGTTGTTTAATTTGCAATATGGCAATTTACCTGTGATAGGTCCTGCAAAATCTTCCCCTCGCTCAGCAACACGGGTTTGGTTTGTGGTGGTTTGTGCTGATAAAATCCCCGTGTAAATTTATTCATGTTCAGAGACGGGATGCACGTTGAATCACTGTTGATAACCATTTGTCTACATACAACAAAATATTTATCTGAACATATGCAGGTTTCATGTAATGGAAAAAAGGGCGTAAATAGAAAGATAAAAGTTTTTGAAATTTAGTTTGTGTTACTTGTCTCAGTCATTCTGTTATCTGACTGAACACTAGTGGAGGAGCTGGCTGGTCTTGTTGTGTAGAGTCGCGGGTGGTTCCCCACAGTTGGATATGAAATGCTTCAGGGAAATAACGTTCACTCAAAGATCTTGCATCTGGTTCAGATGACACGGAGGCCACCTGGTCGAACTTTATTGTACACGTGTAGTAGCTTCCTTAAACATACATACACAAGCGCCAATCATCATTAAATTATGTATGCACTTTTATGTCGTTTGAAGCTAAATCTATTTGAAGGACAATGTTTTTCACCTGATTGCGTATGAATATTTGTTTGGTAGAGTTGCTTAAGGAAAAAAAATGTATATGTGTCCTTCGCGACCATTGACCCAGATTTTCTCGGGTGGAGAATAGGATCTTTTTAAGGCAGCTTAACCAATCACAGCATCTTGTATATCGCTCCAGTCAACTCCCGTCACACAGCATCCACTATCGCCCCGTCAACTCCTGTCACACAGCATCCACTATATCGCCTCAGTCAACTCCCGTCACACAGCATCCACTATGTTACCCCAGTCAACTCCCGTCACACAGCATCCACTATATCGCCCCAGTCAACTCCCGTCACACAGCATCCACTATATCGCCCCAGTCAACTCCCGTCACACAGCATCTACTATATCGCCCCAGTCAACTCCCCGTCACAGCATCCACTATATCGCCCCAGTCAACTCCCGTCACACAGCATCCACTATATCGCTCCAGTCAACTCCCGTCACACAGCATCCACTATATCGCCCAGTCAACTCCGTCACACAGCATCCACTATATCGCCCCAGTCAACTCCCGTCACACAGCATCACTATATCGCCCCAGTCAACTCCCGTCACACAGCATCCACTATATCGCCCCAGTCAACTCCCCGTCACACAGCATCCACTATATCGCCCCAGTCAACCCGTCACAGCATCCACTATATCACCCAGTCAACTCCCGTCACAGCAATACGCCATAATACAACAAATCACGGTTTCAGTGTATCACTATGGCCACACAGCAATAATCACAGCACCTGCCCTGATCATGAAATTCAATTTGATAATTATAACCATTAAGGACATTAAATGACGCGTCGGGTCCATTATGTAAGGTGACAAGGCCATTCATTAACCTCGCCACCTGCTACATGGCTCTATCACCCTCGATAAAAGTGAAATGAACTTTAAGTCTACGTCTGCCTGAGGCATCAAAAGTGGAAAAATAGTGAAATATATCTCCCAATATACCCTTAAAAGTAGACGTATAAAAAGGAAATACCCATTGTCATTAAACGTGAAAACCAAGTAAAAAATCTCTCATAGCTAGCAACTCTCGCGTCTCTCTTCCCTCTCCTAGCCCGTTTTTTCATCCTTCCTATCCATCCTCTATCCTTCCGCTCAATCCCTTGGCCCCTTCCTCTATCCTTCCCCCCTCTCCTCCTCTCCATTCCCCTGTCTTCTCTACCCTTCCTCTTTATCCCACATCCCCTCTTCACCTCCTCTAGCCCCCTTCTTATCCTCTTCTACGTCCCCTAGTCCCTCCCCCTATTCTTTCTTCACCCCTAGCCTCTTCCCTTATCCCTCCTCTTCATCCTGGCCCTCGTTCATCCTCCTCCCCATCTCCTACCCCCCGACCTCACCCCAGGGCACACCTGGGCACGCCAACTTTGGGAAAATCCTGGTGACTCACAGAGAGACGTGAGATGAACCATGATTTTAATGCCAGATAGAGACGCCTGTAGGAGCCCCCAGCTGGCCCAATCCAGCAAGAGTCAGGCCTAAGCATCAGGGCTTAACAAACGGAGTCGGGGTTTTAATCAACAGGACTATACAAGCAGGGCTAAACCGAGAGAGCAGGAAGGCTATACTAATAAAGGCTAAACCAACAGGAACCAGGGCTAAATTAACAGACGCCAGGGTTAAACTAACAGGGCTACAACAGTAGAGCCAGCAGAAGCAGGCTACACCAACACGAATCAGGGTCAAATCAACAGGAGCCAGGGCTAAACCAATAGAGGTATTCGAGCAAGGTACACCAGCAGGAGCCAGGGCTAAACTACCATAAGCCAAGGCTACACCAACAGGAACCAGGGCTACACCAGCAGGAGCCAGGGTCTACACCAGCAGGAGCCAGGCTAAACTACCAGCCAAGGCTACACCAACAGGAACCAGCTACACCAGCAGGAGCCAGGCTCACACCAGCAGGAGCCAGGCTAAACACCATAAGCCAAGGCTACACCAACAGGAACCAGGGCTACACAGGAAACCAGGTCTACACCAGCAGGGACAGGCTACACCAGCAGGAGCCAGGGCTACACCCAGCAGGAACCAGGTCTACACACAGCAGGAGCCAGGGCTACACCAGCAGGAGCCAGGGCTGCACCAGCAGGAGCCAGGGCTACACCAGCAGGAACCAGGGTCTACACCAGCAGGAACCAGGGCTATACCAGCAGGAGCCAGGGCTACACCAGCAGGAGCCAGGGCTACACCAGCAGGAGCCAGGGCTACACCAGCAGAACCAGGCCACCAGCAGGAGCCAGGGTCTACACCAGCAGGACCAGGGCTACACCAGCAGGAACCAGGGCTACCCCAGCAGGAGCGCCAGGGTCCACACCAGCAGGAACCAGGGCTACACCAGCAGGAGCCAGGGCTACACCAGCAGTGGAACCAGGCTACACCAGCAGGAGCCAGGGTCTACACCATCAGGAACCAGGGCTACACCAGCAGGAGCCAGGGTCACACCAGCAGGAACCAGGGCTACACCAGCAGGAACCAGGGCCACACCAGCAGGAGCCAGGGTCTACACCAGCAGGAACCAGGGCTACACCAGCAGGAGCAGGGTCTACACCAGCAGGAGCCGGGTCACCAGCAGGAACAGGGCTACACCAGCAGGAACCAGGCTACAACAGGAGCCAGGGTCCTGCCAGCAGGGCAGGGTCTACCAGCAGGAGCCAGGTCTCAGCAGAACCAGGGTCTACACCAGCAGGAACCAGGGCTACCAGCAGGAACCAGGGTCTACACCAGCAGGAACCAGGGTCTACACCAGCAGGAACCAGGCTACACCAGCAGAGCCAGGGCTACATCAGCAGGAACCAGGGTTACCAGCAGGAACCAGGGTCTACACAGCAGGAACCAGGGTCCACCAGCAGGAACCAGGGTCTACACCAGCAGGAACCAGGTCTCCACAGCAGGAGCCAGGGCTACATCAGCAGGAACCAGGGTCTACACCAGCAGGAGCCAGGGCTACACCAGCAGGAGCCAGGGCTACCAGCAGGAGCCAGGGCTACACCAGCAGGAACCAGGGTCTCCAGCGGAACCAGGGTCTACACCAGCAGGAACCAGGGTCTACACCAGCAGGAACCAGGGTC